GCATTCCTGGCACCTTCAGTTGTACTTTTATGCTAACATGGTAAAGTAAGATGGTGACCATGGTAAACATTACACCTGTGTCGTATCGGAGTGTCTGCATTGTCATTGTGAGTATGTTAGAATCAGACATCATCATTTAGCTCAGATGCTGCCAGTCATTACAAGTATAACACAACTTCACAGGGCTGCTACGTGTACTTCTTATTTAATTTGATTTTGTTATTGAGTGGTGCCCTTTGTATTTCTCATAAAATGTAGAAAATGACAAACAATCAAATAAATAATTAAAACATTTAATAAAAATAAAGCCAACCACAAAAAATGTGCATGTGTCAAAGTGCATTAAAACTCCTCTGTTTATTACAGATGTTTGTTCCTATATTCCCTTGTGATTCCCCTGTCATCAGGATGGTGCACATGATTTATGATAATTTCCTTATTTCTCTCATCATCTGAGACACTCTTCCACATTGGTGAAAACAGCAACATGGGGACTAAATTCATATGACTTGTAATGACTGGCACAATTTAGAGTCCTGATGTGCACAGTCACTCTGCTTAGTACTGCTGTCTCACAGTGGAGAGTCCTGGGAGAGTGATACTTAGGTTCTCACTGTGACATGCAGGTTCGGTGGAGCGCATCGCATGCTTGTACATGTGAATGTGAGAATGACTATGTCTGTATGGCCCTATGGTGGTGACCGCCGTGATGTAGCCAAAGTGTGAATTACAGGATGCCCAGACTGAGGAACAGCTTTTACCCAACAGCCATTAGACTGTTAAACAGGTCAAATACTCAGGTTAAATACCTCCCCCGACACATACTTGTACTGCTATCTCTGTGAGGACACTCATTGACATAATGCATTCCCTAGCCCCTAACCCTAACATCAGAACTAAATGCCTACCCATAACCCTTCCCTTAACCCTACCCTAAACCTGGTTTGCACAGACTCTTAATAAAGACCATAAATCTGTACTCTACTATTGCACTATTATATTTGACAATACTGTACATAGTGGTATATCACTGGAACTGATACATGTGGTTCTGACATTGCACATTATGCATTGCACTGATATTTTTGTTGATTCTTTTTTTTTAACTTTTTAAAAAATATAATTTTCTGCTTTATATTTATTTTATTTTAATTGTGCATATGACAATAAATGCTTTGAACTTTGAATGTTTCAGAAAGACAGCAAAGGGAGCTGGAACATTTGAAGAATTACAAAACAGAGGGAAGAACGGGGAGAAAGAGTACAACATTTAGTCAGTAGATGTGGGTTATCTTTAGACTTTGACCATATGAGATTGTGTGTTTGAAACTCAATTTCAAACAACCAGGAAGTACTATGGACGAAGAGCACATCGAATACTTAAATATTTAATTTCTGTTCTCTGAAGAAACTTTATCTTCTATTGTAATTAATGTATGCATTAGGGATTAAATCAAACCATTCAAAATAAAGCTAGATGAAAGATTTCTTATGAATTTATGGTAAAGTTGCCTTCAGCATATAGTTGATGCGTGTTTAACTCCCAACCTACAGGGGGCAGTGACGTCTAAACGTCCGCACCCGGAAATACATTCAGCGTGTGGTTTAAATCTACACTGAGGATAACTAGCTCCAAACAGTCATATCATCTTTGAATTGTCTTTATCTACGTTTCTTTTGACCAAGATGTCTTCGAAAAGCCGGGATAACGACGATAACTATGAAAAACAGTCTGGACTTAAGGAGGAACTGAACAGTAAGGTTAGACAGAACATGTAGCAGGTGGCTAATCTGTAGCCGAGTTAGCAAATCTACCTTTCTGAAAGACTTTTGAACTCGGTTGACCCTTTATTACATACATTCACGAGAATGTTCAAGCTTTCAGGACTCAGTTTCCTTCTATTTTAAAATGTGCCCGGTAGGAGTTTCATTTTCTCAGGTCAGAGAATTAATTCGTGTTACTAAATTACAGATCAAGGAGCAGAAAATTGTAGTGGACGAGCTCTCCAATCTGAAGAAAGGCCGGGTGAGTAGAGCAGTAATGTTGACTGTATAACACTGCCTGCTGTTTGAATGTGATGATCCTCTGGGCTAAGATGCTCCTCTAAAGGAAACTGTTAAAGGATCTTCTTACATTTAGTGGGTTATTTCCACTATTTTGTTTGTATCATTCATATTGTGTGTGTATTTCCCCTAGAAAGTTTACATTCAGCAGAGGAACAGTAACATATTCTTCCTGGCAGACAGAGGCCAGACACTGGGTTCATGCAAAAGTAAGCTGAGACAACAATTTAACAGATAAAGCAACTGATGGCTGTACATACAGTAGATCTGTAGCTCATGTAACATCATTTAGTAGATGAACATCACAGATGACCTTTTCTGTCTCCAGAGGAACTGGATAATATGAAAAAGGAACTCCAGGATATGTAAGACTAACCTTCACCACAACGATGTGCGGCATCTTTTGTCTGCTGAGTCTGTCCCCTACTCACTTCGAGTGGGACAAAACAATTTATGAACATCTGAAAAGAAGAGGTCCCAACTTGAGCCAAGATCTGACAGTTACAGGCAAAAATCCCTGCTACCACTGTTTCTTCTCTGCCCACGTTCTTCACATGAGAGGTCTCCTTACACCTCAGCCCGTTCGAGACAGCACTGGAAATGTTCTGCTGTGGAATGGGGAGATTTTTGGAGGGCTGCCTGTGATGCCAGAGGAGAACGACACTGCTGTTGTCTCTCAGCGGCTGTCGTCCTGCAACAGCCCTGCAGAGATTCTGTCTGTCCTGTCCAGTATACGGGGACCCTGGGGGTTTGTTTACTATCAGAAGGCCGGACACTTCCTCTGGTTTGGCAGAGACTTCTTTGGTAGGCGGAGTTTGCTTTGGAAATTTGATGCAGATGCAGAGCTTTTGACCCTGACTTCTGTGGCAGCTCAAACTTCTGAGGCTGATCAATCTGCTTGGCAAGAGGTCCCAGCAATTGGTGTGTACAGGATTGACCTGAAGGCAGCTAAAGAAGCTGGCAGTGTGACATTTGAGGTGTATCCTTGGACTAATGCAGGAAATGATGTTCTCTTCACTTGCAGTGAAACTATAAGGGATTCTGTTCCTAACAGCTGCACTGCTGTGATGAGCCAATCAGGACTCACACTCACCTCACCTGTGTGTCCTCTTAATATGTCCATTCCACAGTCATTAAATGAGACTGATATTCATCCAAACTTAAATTCATCTGTCTCGGTTCTGGAGCAGCTGCTCACGAGCAGAGAGAGAAACGATGAGGTGAACTGTCTTATTGATGCCCTGAGCGAGGCAGTAAAGCGACGTGTTCAGTCTCTGCCTTTTGAGGTGCTAAACGATTCACCTCCTGACAGTGAACATGCTAGTGTTGCCATTCTTTTCTCAGGAGGTGTCGATTCAATGATTCTGGCAGTCTTGGCCGACCATCACGTACCTGCTATTCAACCAATAGACCTTCTTAATGTTGCCTTTAGACTACAGGAGCCAAAGAAGCAGAAAGAGTCTGCAAAGAAGCCCAAAAAGCACAGAAATACGTGCACAGATTCCAAGACTGATGGAGCTGGTCAAACATCCAGCCCCTTTGATGTTCCAGACAGAGTGACCGGAAAAGCAGGTGTCAAGGAATTACAAGACTTGAATCCTGAGAGAACATGGAATTTTGTTGAAATCAATGTAACACAGGAGGAGCTGCAGAAAATGCGCCATGAGCGCATTTGTCATCTGGTGCATCCACTGGATACAGTGCTTGATGACAGCATTGGATGCGCTGTGTGGTTTGCAGCAAGAGGGGCAGGGTTCATCACAGTGACCACGGACGGTGACCAGAGGCCCTTTACATCATCTGCAAAGGTAAAGAACACAGAATTTGTGCTTTATACTTTGCAACGAGCAAATGGTTCTTAGCTCTGATTCATTTATATAACTGTCCACTGGGCTGTGACAGTGGGGAGAGGGCCGAGAGACAACCAGTTTGACTGCTAAAGGAAGGGGAGGCTTTTTGTAGTTAATGGTTAAGTTAATGGTCAACAACCACTTCAACTTGATTTTCTGACTTGCTACTTCATGACTGCAGGTAATTCTGACAGGAATAGGAGCAGATGAGCAGCTAGCAGGTTACTCCAGGCACAGAGCCAGATTTAAGACGTCTGGCCAAGGAGGACTGATCCAGGAACTAGCCATGGAGCTGGGCAGGATCTCCTCCAGGAATCTGGGCAGAGACGACAGAGTGATAGGGGACCATGGGAAGGAAGCCAGGTAGGTGCCTAAAGTGATGCCCGGAAAATGTCTATTGTCTGCAGATTCATGAGTCAAAAAGCAAAAATAGTACTTTGACCCCGTGGACTATGATTTCAGTGAGGTGAGTTGTATCCCAGTAGAATAGCCTGTATGTTTCTCTGCGCTACATCAAACTGTTTGAGTGCATTTTCCCCTTTTAGTCGTCCTCTTCACTGCATTAGTTGGTGCATTGCCTCATTGTTTGTGTTTTACCACCACCTACTGTTAATAGGTCAGAGAACTGCCAGCAGCACCTTTATCCGTGATACTAACAAAACAGAGACCCGCTCATAGAACTATTCGTCTGTGGTGCACCCAGTGGTCAAAAACTCCTCTGTCTGCCGTTAACTAGAAAGAACAGTTTTCTTTCAACTAATCATTTCAGCATTAATATTTGATATGTACTTTGAAGCCTGGAAAAGCAAAAGTTTAGCATTATAAATTGTATTAGGCAAATAAATAACAGAAGCACAACTGAAAACTGGGTTTAAGACAAGGGCACTGCTCAGACTGACCCACTGGTTGGAACTGATTGGTTTATGAACTTTTTGGCCTGCAGTGTTCTGTTTGAAGTATCCAGATTTTATTTCCTCCTTTGATTTGATTTGATTCATTCTTTCAAACATGTAAAGACAGTTGATATGTCAACACACATAATTTCACACATATCCACAAATGCTAATCCAATATCAATTTGCTTATACCTAGTACGTGCTTGAATGGAGTAGGAAGAAGTCAGACTTATCCAGTCCTACCCCATGACATCATCTTACCATCATTGGTTTGCAAGCAGTATCTCTACATAGATAATTATGTTCTACACCACGGTAGTGATATACTAAAGAATTATAACAGGGTGTTAACATTCATACATAATGACATACTTGGGTAATTATCTTCTACATCACACAAGTAGCAATATCACAAAGTGTTAACATTCATACACCACATCCACAATGTTCCATCTAATTAATCATTAAGCCTGTTCTTACTTATATCTTGATTGACACATACCTTTATATTTATGTTTAAACTCATCAATTCTATTACTATTTTTTATGTCTACACTTAAATTATTCCATAGTTTTACCCCACTTATGGAAATACAAAATCTTTTTTTGGTTGTACGTATAGCATGAATTTTTAAATTTAACTGACCCCTTAAATTGTATCCCCCTTCCCTTTCATTAAATAGTTTTTGAATTCCACCAGGTAATAAATTGTTCCTGGCTTTATACATAAACACAGCAGTCTTATATCCCACTAAATCAAAAAAGTCCACTCTACTGGACTCAACTGTTCTACTCTGTCTACTCCACTTCAGTCTACCAGTTCACTTGACTGTGCTTCAGACCACTTCAAGGATAAGCTCACTTTATTTTAATCTGCATTTCCCGTATCACCTTCTCTGTGGTACACATTCAGGGAACAAGAAGTTGTTACCGGGGCAAGGGTTTAGCCTCTGAAAGAGTTCAGAATAAATGTAATGTCAGTCAAATGGTTTGTCGTGCTTCTCTGAGTCAAAGATTAGGCTTGGGCTGCAGGCTGAGGCTACCTACCCAGGCCTAATCTTTGCTTTCCTTCTGACTCAGAGAAGCATGACATTACATTTATTCTGAACTCTCTCAGAAGCTAACCTTTTGTTTTCCTGAATCTCTACAATTAAAGTAATGATAGCAAAACCACTGTTAAAAGAAACAGAGCAGGTTCCAAAAAGCAACGTTATCATCACATCACCCTGCAGGAGCAGAAACAGCTCTAGTTAAGAGTTATAACTCTGTCTTGCTCTAGGTGAGTCTGGGGCAGAGCCTGCATTGACCCTTGAGCTCCCACTGGCTGCACCCTCCGGCCAATCGCAGACTGAAAAAGATGCATACAGTTAATGACATCACAGCTTCCTGTCCATTGATACACTTTGATCCAAGGAGAAGAATAAAATGTGCTGATCAATTCTGTTCTAAATCATCAATAAAAGCATTTCAAACTCACTCTGCTGTTTCTCTGATTCAAACGTCTGCACATTGAAGATGATACATCTGTGGTCATTTTATTAAGAACCCCTGTCTCAGTCTGGTTCAACAGTCCTGTAGTGAATCCTCCTTCATGAAGGTGGTGGTGTTCAGTGTGTTTAGACTGTTTCACAGAGGTGCTGGTTCACCTGTGTGATCACTGTGGAGGCTGCAGTTTGTGCTGCTGTTCACCTGTATTAAATGGACTTGGACTGACTGGTACGTCAGTGGCGTCACAGAGCTCTCAGCTGGACACATTCACAATACTGCTAGTAATACAGCTAAAGCATCTACTGCTGGTTCTCCATTACTTTAATGTGTTGTCACCTACCCTGAGAGCTGTTCTGTGGACCAGCCTAGCAGCTCTGATATACAGGGGGTGGATCCAGTAATGCCTGTTAATGTAATTCAACACAACAGCGCAGCCTCCACAGTGAATCAGCAACTCTGTGGAACAGTCTGAACATCACCTTCATGAAAGGGATTTACTGCAGGACTGCTTGATAAGACCGACTCAGTCTGAGAAGGGGGTTCCTAATAAACTGAGCGTAGTGAATCAGTAGGCCTCATTCCTGAATGTTTCACTTTGTCACTTCTAAAAGCAAGAATGAAAACTGACTGAAAAGGGTTGAAACAATCTTTAACTGAACAACAATTGAACCTACTTGACCCAAGGCAGGCAGGCAGTGACATTAGTGACTGTATATTTGTTGTACGAGGCTGAGGCCTGTTAAACACACCAGGAACAAGAGTGGCTCATGTTGTACCATCAGACCTGCAAAAAACACAGCACTGCTGCTTCAAAGCTCAATCATAACAACCAAGTGTCACCTTTAGCAAAAATCTGAATTAACTAGTGATTGGTTAATCCACCCAACAGGTCACATTAACTGATCCATTAAATTACTGTTACATGGCTGAAAATCTAATCACTACAAAATTCATGTAATTAATAACTAATTTGGTTTCCTTCATTATTATCTAGTTTGATTATGAAACAGATGATACCGCACGTCATTCTGTGCGGCTTCAACAAGGTCTGATATTAAAGCTGAGCCTGCAGAGCCCTGTGCTGACAGCGGACATGGTGATGGACAGACGAAGCTTCCGAGTCACTGGGAAACGGTTCACTGTTGTGAAATATGTCAAACAGCCCAGACGGCTGCTGGCCGCATCCTGGCTCTTTACCCGTGGGTGGACAACAGTCAGGCTGCACCTGGTCATACTGCTGTCAACATTACTGTGATCAATAAAGTTTGTATTATACAAACTGATCACATTTAACTGGTTCTACTGTTAAAAATGTACCCAGACTGAGAACATCCTGCATTTTACATCACTCTGCTTTCAAATGTTGATACCGAGTCTGGACACAATCAAGTCTCCACATGCTAACATGCTAAGCTTCAAGGTCAAAATCCATTCCCCTTACATTATTAATCCAAGTTTCAGAAATAGCAATTATATTAAAAGAATGTTTTAGACTACTAAGATAATGTTTTATACTCTGAAAGTTTGCATATAGACTTCTGCTATTAAAGTGAATTAATGATAATTTGTTTTCAGTCTTGACATTGCTGTTAAACTGCTCCTCCTTTGTGTGAAGTACGTGCCCTTTTCTATGTTCTCGTGGATTTCTCCAGGACTTAGTATTTTTAGGGCTTGTAAGAGGCAGGTGCTAACGTCAGTGATGGTTCTGTTCTGTTCAGGTGTCCCAGTAGAGCTGTGACAGTGAGCCAGCGTGCACGGGTGCAAGTGACATTACATTAACAATGGCTCTGTTCATTCCAGAATGGTTTCCAGTATCCTGTGCCATTGAGCCACTGAGCGAGTGAGCACAATGCCAGGGCTGTAAGACTGGCAGTCATTATTAATGTTGTTACACCTGGGCTTGTCCTGCTATGACTTGTAAAAAGGTGTCAGAGAAAGGAGGACAGTGCTGACGAACAGTCCTATAGCCACACTCTGACAGATATAACATTAAATAGATATGAGATGGGTTTCATTTTGTCATAAATGTGAAATCTGAAGGTCAGTGGAATGTGGAACATAGTGCTTCACTTTTCATACTAAAGAATCTCACTATGCTTATAGAAGAAACATAAAATATTAGTTTCTGTGACTTCATCTTTTGTTCTTGACTCTGATCCATGTCGGTATTTATTTAAAGGCCCTGCTCACCCGTGTGTGTGTGTGTGTGTGTGTGTGTGTGTACAGACTGTTTGTTTGACAACTCTCTCACTCTCCTGGTTGCTGAACCTGCCAGTGTCAGACACATAATCCCTTTATTGTTGTATAATGGTACAAGGTGTGCCCTGACACAGTTCTGCCTACCTTTGTCCTAAGCGCTGGTCTAATCAGCGACTTGCTATCGGCTTTATTGGAATGTATTGTTTACCTAAAGAATTGGTCTCTATATAAATGGTGTTATGTGGAGGAAAGGCTATATTGTCCTTTTTTGTAGTCAGTTTTTTAAAATCAAAAATGTCAAAGCTGTTGGCACCACAGGTGAAATTTCATTCACCCCATTGTTCCCAGAACAGAAGGTGACAAATATCAACTCTTGCATCTGTAGATTTCCCTACTTGGATGAGGATGTGGTGAGCTACCTGAACTCTCTGCCCGTATGGAAGAAGGCAGATCTGTCACTTCCTCGAGGTGTCGGGGAGAAGCTCCTCCTGAGACTAACAGCGAAACGGCTGGGACTCGGCCAATCAGCTGTCCTGCCCAAGAGAGCCATGCAGTTTGGCTCCCGCATCGCAAAAATGGAGGACAGTCATGAAAAAGCCTCTGACAAATGCACAAGGCTCCTCACTGGGTAGACTAATAACTGGTTGGAATGAACTGTACACAAAAGCATTTCAATAGAAAACAAGATTACACACAGTTCATGTTACACTTCTTGATTTACTGTTACAGGCAGATTCTTGGCTATAACGATTTTCTTCTCTGTGCTTGATTTTAATGTGGCATAATAAACATGGCGTTTTTAACCATTTCTTTCCTCTACACCATGAAAGACTCAGCATCTTGAAGCTTTTCTCTGAAGAAAAGGTCACATTCGATATAGGAAGGCAAGTTTCCAACATCAAAACGCCCAGAAATCTCATGAACATATACAGGCCTCCTGAGGGGAAAAAGAGAAATACATTAACAAAGAGATTTAAAAAGCATATTACATCCTTGTATCCTTTTACAAGAAAGAAAATTTGACAACTAAATAAATTCCACTGAGCTATTCTAATGATGTAAACCTCACCGTCATCTTCACACTGGATCAGGCGACCTAGACATGTTTGGTGATTGCAGTAAAGAACCACAGACCATAAAGAAGGCTAGCTGCATGTCTCAAAGCACAGTTCCTATAGTATTTGGATAACCTTGGTGTATAAAACCCAGATCCTTGAGTCTCAGGAGTCCAGTAGAAATTACCTCGGAATGAGCCAAGACAGAAAGTTTCCTGGGGCGTCCTTCTCTTCAATAGGAGCTTCCTACAGAAATATAAAGGTACATGTAATGGAAATCAAAAACAATTATTTTTGTTATTTGTCACATCTCGGACTTTTGTTAAATTTACCTTCTTTTCCTCAAGGAAGGTATCCAGCAAAGGAAGGCTTTTCTTTGATAACACATAGAAACAGGGACACTGGAAACAAATGTATGTTATGAGCTTTTACGAATAGATGTGCAGTGGAAATACATACTGTAGCGGTTAAATATAAATACCTATAACGGTCACAATATCACAGATATACACAATGTCATAATGATCACGTCACACCAACCTGAGAACAACAGAGCTAGACAATGGTCCCAAACAGCCAAGACGACTAATGGAATATTAATGTCCGGTTAGCCGGATGTTCCTGACTGGCCAAGTCTACTCCAAACCTCAGTCCAAAGGTTCAAAGGTAACTTTATTATCTCCTACAAGTTATATGCATCCAACAGTACCACCATAACAAACAGTCAATCATAACACAGTTCAAACATAACAGAATGCAAAACCACCCCCTACAAACAGTACATTATATCCCAGTCCCACAGTGCCATCACTTGCCATCCTATAATACAGCTTGGCCAATACCTACATGTGCCATAGCCCCGATATCCAAACTGCCTCAGCATTTGCCAGAATTCTCTGCATTTAACAGACCAAACTTGGTACCATAGAATTTTAAAGTAAATTTCGCCTACATTTAGGGACGACGATATGCCGTCCCCGTCCTGATGGAAGCATCACCAACTCTCCAAAGACAGGGTGACCGGAGTCTGCTATGATTGACCTAAACTTCCCCAGAATATGCAACTTATACAAGCAGGATATGCAAGTCGTTAAGGTGTTCACGTATTATCACGTATTAAGTAAAACTCTGATTTGGGTTCTTGTTGCACTCATTGCCTACCACATTATGTTGTCTTCTACCAATGTACTTGGTCTTTTCACATCACTGTTGGTCTTGCTGGTGAACTTACTGCTCTCCTTGACTCCGTATCAGAAGGAAGAGGTTTCTCCTTCATGCAGACGACACAAAGATCACTGTCCACTTCCAGAATCCCGTATTTATGGGTTTCTGTTGAGACACGTGCACACGATACAGAACCAACTTGAGCCAGGACTGCAATTCTAAGATGAGATTCACCCAGTTCCCGGGCACTGCGTTTATAAGGTTGCATTTAGGGCTGAACGTCTACAGTGATACTGCTCGGTGGCCAGTTATGTCAGTTAAACTGGCTACTTCTGAAAACATTTCATTCGCACCACTTAACTATGCAGATGATGTAAGCCTCACCTTGATCTCTGCATTGGTAGGAGAGCACCAGACAGCTGTCCTCACACTTTGCTTGGAGGTCAGAAAACCTCTCTTTGACTTTAGTGAGGCTAAAATCTTCTTTGAAGAGGGTGTCACTGTTTAAGGCAGAGAGACTTGCATCAGTGTCATTTTCCAGTGTAAACTGTCTCTTCACTGTAGGATTAATAATATATGTATGTTTAAAACCATACCCTCCAATAACCACAACATGGTCTTCTATCTTGAAGTGCTTTATTGCAAGCTGCAGGCAGGCCACAGCACCAAGACGCTCCTGGTGGAAGGGAGACATTAGCCTGATTTAGAGGTTTTTATCAAAAAAAAAAGCTATTGTATAAAATGTGGCCCGTTCTGATTTAAAGAACCCCTGAGTAATCCTAAAGCCCTTCTCAGTATGGGTCAAGAAATGTATTTTCAAAGACACTTCGGCACAGTGCACATTTGCCACTGTGGCACTTGAATCTTGGGGATTGATGCAGGGGATGGTAGTCTGCTTTGATGATGATAATGATGAAGGTGATAATTGTTATGAAACATTATTTACATCATTGCTTCTTGTCTGATCGCTGAGAATCCTGACATTTTGGAAATGTGCAGCCCACTCTTCAAATGCAGCATGGTAAAGAGCGTTAGTCTGTGGAGAGAAAGAGGTGAGGAAGAGGTGAGGAAGAGGTGAGTGAAGGCACAGAACAGGTCGTTCATTCTCAGGTCAGGATAAGAGCCAGCTGCTGGGTTAGACCTGCATCCTTAGTGCAAAAGATACATCAAATCTGTACTGAATAACACTTCTGCACATGTCATCACTTGGCTACATCCCACCACTGATCACTGGACTTGTACAAACTCATAATGTAATAAATGTTTATAATATAAACCGTGAGCAGACATAATGTAAGAAGTTATATTTTGTTATTACCCTTTCACTACATTATACGGACCTGTTACACTATGTGCAGTGACTGTGAGTTTCTACAATAGGTCTGCTACTTACAACAACATAAATACCGTCCACAGAGCCACAGGCGCTCAGGGCGCGGACCCAGTGGGATATTAAGGCACAGCGTCCCACCGGGAGCAGCGGCTTAGCGGTGCCAGCAAGGTGAGCGAACCTCCCGCTGCTGTCGGAAACCACATCCCGCTGGAGCCTGGTTCCGTACCCAGCGGCGAGAAGTACGGCTTTCATTTAAACTCCTGACCGGGGTAAGCGCCGCTTCACCTGCTAGTTTACCTATAATATACCGGCTTTGAGACGGGGAAAAGATAGGTAGGAACAAGTTTGGCAACTCTCGTCTAGGTCTTCTCGCGAGGTCAGCGAGACCATCTTCCGGCTATAATCTACAAAATAAAAGCATCACCTCTGCGGTTTATACACATTCAAACTTACCACAAAGTCTGTGTACATAAGTCCTAAAAAACTGCCTGTTCAGCATTTCACACACGTGTTCTTTGCTGCAAACCAAAACATATCCACATCTGAAGTTGTTGAAACCCATGGTCTGTAGGATGCAGTTAAGATTGATGAACCATGGTGCAGTAGTGAAAAAGAACGGAAGCAGACAGTAAACCAGTGTTTTGTTGATCTATTTGCCAACTTTTCATAACATGAAGGCATATGGAATGCTTTCATACACAAATGTACCTAGTATTTATTTCCCTCAAAATCAGTCTACTACAAATACAAAAAGGAAGCGTTTTCTTAACAAGAAATTCTGAAACACCTACAGGCTGTTTAGCAAAAAAAGAGATGTTCATTTATTTTGAGTGTATATGTCTTGAATGCATTCATTCTATATCCTCGCTGCCACTTCCAGCCTCAGGCCCTGCAACCTCAGCGTCAACATCTTTTTCTGGCTCCTGTAGGTCTGAAGGTTCTGGCTCCTGTAGGTCTGAAGGTTCTGGCTCCTGTAGGTCTGAAGGTTCTGGCTCCTGTAGGTCTGAAGGTTCTGGCTCCTGTATGTCTGAAGGTTCTGGCTCCTGTATGTCTGAAGGTTCTGGCTCCTGTATGTCTGAAGGTTCTAACTGAGATGTCTCCATTGGCTCCTCAGCTGGTTCTGGCTGAGATGATGGGGTTTCACTAATTCCTGCCAACTCCACCTGGGGAGACCCAAAAATCAGCCCGTGTCAGAGTGTATCTATTATATTATATATAAATTCTCACTGTCCTGGGTTTAATCAAATTAAATCCAGTTGTGAACTGCAACTAAAACATTCTAAATAAATAAAAACTAGCTTTAATTAGGGAAACAGATTAGACACTTTCCTGTCAACTGTAGCACACAAAAATCAAGTTATTTAAATACTTTCTGGTCTACATTCTGAAACTTTCCTTTACCTTTATTTAAAAACTGGAATTCAGACTTTAAATTCCTCTTTCTGAAGTTTGATTACCACTGGAACATGCACCTTTAACATGTACAGGTCTAATTGGTCAGTTTTATACGACTCCAAGCAGCTTCATTTTACCTGGGAAACTGAACTGAGACTTTCCTCCTGTATCACTGGATTCGACTCCTCTTGCTCCATTGGCTCTTCGTCTTGTGTGGCAGTTGGCTCCTGCTGGACTGGCTCTTTCACTGCCACAGTGGGAGTCTCTTTTGGAACAGAGGCAGCTGGAGCAACAACTGGTTCAATCTGTATCATGAATGAGACAAGGCCAGAATATAATGAAAGTAACTGGACAAATGCTTTGTTTTTATTTTAAAAAGTGGACCATAAAACTACGTTATACGAGACACTGTAAGAATCATTTATGGCACAGAAAAGTGTGTGAAGCAGAGTTACTGATTACCTCTCTTTCCACAATAGGCTGTACAGGCTTAGGTTCTGTTTTGTTGTTTGTTTCCAGGACTGCCATGATGGAAGCAGGTATGTGAGCTTGCTGTTACACAGGAAAACAGAACCAGATGGTGCATAAGGAAATCCCAAGAGAACCAGAACTCTGAACTCTGAGTGAGGTTCAATAAACTGTGGAACAGCTGTTACCTGATGAGGGGTGAAGGAGTGCACATGCAGCAGAAGAGGCTCTCTCATCTCTGGACAGCGATCAAACACACTTGCCAGTTGAGCAGGCGGCAGCTGTAAGAGCACGCTGTATGACTGAGGCTTCGTCCTCTGGCAACACTTCACAAAGCCCTCCCACACCTTAGGGTACTTCCACACCTACACCAGGAAATAACAACTAGTATAATGCAGCAAAAACAGTGACAACAATGATCAAGAATTATTTGTGGACATGTACAATTTAATTGCTGAAAGCAAGATTATG